CCCGGGACCTGAGCTGCCTCATCCGTAATGGGGGGGGGGTCCCCCCCCCGCACCCTCCCAGGGCCACTCCTGGAAAGTGCAGGGATGCAGGAGGGATGTGGGCCGTGGAGCTTTCCTCGGCTTCACAAAACAGAGGCCCCAGAAGGTGAGGGGACCTGTCCCAGGCCCCCCAGCTGGGTTTGGACATGGCCCTCCTGACCACTCCTGGAGGGAGCCAGGCCGCACAGGGCCCTGGTCCAGCGGCCACCCCCAGGAGGGCCCACCAGGCCCTGCCAGTGTCCACTGTCCCTGTGGTCTCTCAGAGGCCCTGAGGGCAGTCCTGGCCTGGGCCCGCTCTCACCGACACCTATCCAGCCCTAGGCAGGCATTAACGGGGGCACTGGGCGTGTGGTGGCAGCGGTGGCCAGCCCCTCGGCCTGGCCCAAGCAGGCTGGTTTCCCTTTAAGAGCCGGCCCAGGGGGAGCCGTGACCCCCCCCACCCTCCGGAAGGCAGTGAGGGAAACGCCAGGATACCAACCCTTCCTGTAGATCTCCGAGTTGGCTTCGGCCTCGGTCAGGGCCCGGGGCAGCGTCCTCAACCAGCAGGCCTCGTCCTCCAGCAGCAGGGTCAGGGCCGGGCTCTGGGGGCGGGGAGGGGGGGTCAGCAAGGACTCAGTCATGCCCTCGGACACAGTCAGCAGGAGAGAGGCTGGCTGGGGCAGCGGGGGGCTCTCTGTGAGGGATGCCTGAGAGTCTACCCCGTGGGCGCCCAGTCCAGGCTGTGGGTCCTCGCCAAGCACTGTGCTGGCGACATGCATGCAGCAGGGATCCAGTGCCTGCCATGGGTCAGGTGCTGGTTTCCCTTGGAAACTGAGGCCCAGAGAGGTGGAGCAACTTGCCTAAGGTCACAGAGCCAGTGAGTGGCAGAGCGGGGAGGCACACCCGGACCTCCGTTCTTGCTGCCCCCTCCCTGGTGGGGCACTGGGCCGGATGCATGCTCCTCCCACACCCCAGAGACCTACAGAGTGAGCTGTGGGACTGGCTGCACAGCACGCAGGCCCACCTTTGTCCAGTCCATCCTGGGGCCCATAGACGTCTCGTCCCACCTGCCTGGGCCCAGCAGCCCCCTGAGGTCCTGGGCAGCGAGACGTCCCCCCACCGAGGCTGGCTCAGCACCTGGCCTCCCTGCGGCTCGCAGACCGTGGTCAGCCCCTTGCCCAGACACGCTGTCTCCGGCGGCCTGGTCTGCGAGCCAGGCCTCTGCAGCGCCCAGAGCGGAAGAGTACTCTGAGCTCGGTTCTCACTCGGGGCTGCCAGCGGCCCCCAGAAGGGGTGGCCTGATTTCCGGCACCCTCCCCAGGCGGCACTGCAATCACACGTCCCCTGTCCCAACGTGGCCTGGTTCTGGGAGGGGGCTGGCCCTTGCCACATGGAGGTGATGAGGTACAGACCCTGGCCCTGACTGGCTGCAGAAAGTTAGGGTGATGACTGCAGCCGCCCCTCAGGCCACAGCCCCAGGGCTGGATGGGTTCTGGACGGCTCCTCTCCTGCAGGGGGTCCCCAAGCTCCGCTACTGGGCGCCGTGTGCAAAAAGGCACATTCGTGTCTGAGTATTCTGTTTTATGCAAATAAAAGCTTTTTAGTCAAACTGGGTATCAGAACCTCTAACTCAAGGACCAGTGTCACTTGCCGTCACCTGGATGGGGGCACCTGGCCAGGAAGCTAGCGTGATGGGATGGCTGGAGCAAGTGACACACGGGAGGTTCCCCTGACGTGTTCTGGGCACCTCCCCGCCTGGTCCAAGACCACGGCTTTACTGGGCTTTGCCTGCAGGGAGCACGTGGGCTCCAGAGCTGGGCCTTGGGTCCAGTCCAGCCTCCCTGACTGTGCCCAATAGCCAGCACCATGCCCGCCCTCCCTGGGCCCAGCATCTCTGCAAACGGCAATGCCCCGAGCCCGTGGGCTCCCTCGACCGTCCCTGTGCTGCCACCTGCTCTGGGGGTGGGTCACATCCCTCTTTGACTCAGTCTCCCCGGGGCACTGGGAAGTGGAAGCCCTCCTTTCAGACAGTGCCCACCTGGCACGTGACACACACAGGACAAACAGGAGTCCCGCCACCCTTGCTTCTCCATCCCCTTTGGCCAGCAGGACACAGTGGGCAGAGGCTGTACCTTCGGACCTAGGAGGCTCATGTCCATTGGGATGGCGGGCCAGCAACCGCCAGGTATCAACTGGGGGCGAGTGTCTCCACCAAGGAGCGTGCTTTAATGGACGGCTGCGGACCTGGGGGTCCCCGTTACCCACAGCTGGGGACAGGCTGGGGGGCCAAAGCGGAACCGGGGGGGGGGTGCTGGCACAGCAGCGACTGACCGGCGGCTCCCACGTCCCAGCTATCCTGACCTGGGCCAGCAGAGAGGCGGAGGCCAGGGTCTCCCTGAGTCTCTAATGAATATTTATTAATGAGTGGAGGAGGGAGAAAAAAATTAATCTGCCTGATCCTCCGATGGGTGCTGCGGTAACGATATGAAATCTAATTACTCGTCCCAATATTTCTAAACCCTCAAACTGAGACTGACAGCCTCCCGGTCGGTTTAATGCTTATCACTCCCGGGAGCGGCGTGTTCGCGGCATGATAAAAGCGCCCGCGCACAGCTCTGCTGACGCTGCAGAACCCCTGAATTTTCCGCGTCCATCCGAGTGGAGGGGAGACGGCAGCGCTGTGTTCCCGGCTGTGCGCCTCCTGCTGGGAGCGGCCCCTCGCCTGGTGGCTGCCCCGGGCGGGTGAGGGGCAGGGGACGTGGGGACCTGGAGGGGGCTTGCATCCTGCACCCCGCGCCCGACTCACAGGAGGGAGAGGGGCCAGGAGATCCAGGCCGTACGACCACCAGACCCTTCAGCCTCATTCCCTCAGCCCTTAACACTCTGGGGGGCCCTGGTCCCCACTTAAATGGGGCAGGCTGGGCCCACCATCACCAGCCTCCCTGCCTGCGCGTGGACCCTAGGGGTGCAGGAGCCGGCGCCCCACGGCTCCGGGGAGAGGAGCACGGCCCTGCCCAGTCTGCCCCTGCCCCTGTCCCCGTCCCTGCGGGGTGGCAACGCGCACTGTCCCAGGCAGCTGGACCCTGCCGTGCGCTAGGGCTACAGCTCGCCCCCCTGCCCCATTATTTATTTTCTCCCCCCAACCCCCAATTCCAAGCAGCCCTGGAACAGAAGCCCTTTTCTCTGGTGGTCGGAGGCGCCGGGCCGAGGCAGGCTCCCTTCCTGGCCCTGCCCGTGGGCAGCGGGGTGCGAGCCTGAAACCATCAGAGATGTGTGTACTGCTGGCCACCTTCCCTCCACCGGCGCCCCAGGCTCACTGCCGGGTCTGCGTCTGGGTCCAGCTCGCCCCAGACAGGCCGGGTGCAGCGTCTGAAGAAAGCTTGGCCCCTACCCTGCCTTAGCCCTGGGGGTCGCCCTGTCCCTCCCTCCTGACTCCAGGCTGCCCCACCCAGCCCCGGGACAGCGGGCGGCCACTTTAAACTCTCTGGGTGCATCTGAGAACCCTCCTTGTTCCCCCAACAAAGAGGTCAGTGTCTGGGTTCTGTGCCCGCTGATAGCCATCAGAAACCCTATCTCGACCGCATCCGCTGTGACAGCCGTATCTGAGGCTGTTCCCGAACTTGCCGTACAGCGCGTGAAGGGGCGTCGAGGGGAGGTGGGGGCCCGCAGAAAGCCTCCCCAGGGCACTGCGGGCAGGTTCGCGGGAGGTCGGGAACCTGGGGCAGGCCTGGGGTGGGCTCTGATCGGGGCCTGCACTCGTCTCTCCCTTTCGGCGTGTCCTGGGAAGCCCCCGCCTGCGTCCCACTCACCATCGCCAGAGGCAATGGCTTTCCGCCCTTGGCACCAGACGTTTCATGAGGAAAGAGGAGCACGACACGGGCGGCTCAAGGCATGGCCCCATCTGGCAAAGAAACACCCATAATGCACCATGCCTGGGCTGAGCACCTTCCCTTGGGAATTACTCCCTATCACAGCCAGAGGAAGAGGGGCCTCGCCAGGAGGGCACCGGGCTCGTGCACTGCAGCCCCATCACCCCCTGGTCCGGGATCGTCCTGCTGGCAGTTTGGCTCTGCCAGGCAACGACCGCTGACAATGGCCTTTGGAGGGGCCCCATGTGGAGGGGCGCTCAGAGCCCATCTGCGTGGGGTCAGCTGGCGGCTGTGCCTGGATGGTCCCACGTCAGCCTCACAGGCAGGGGCTTGCTGCTCAGACCTGCTGCCCTGCGTGCCATCCAGGGGGTACCCTCCCAGCTCTCACTGATGTCACAGTGGCCTCGTGGCTAAAGTGGGTGAGCCATGGAGGACAACTGGACAGATGGATGGGCCGAGGGAGGGTCCATTTGTTCATCCATCCATCCATCCACCCATCCTTCCAACATCTATCCATTCACCATCTACTCATCCATCTACCTTCTACCCATTCATCCACCGTCCATTAATCCATCAACACATCCACTGACTCACCTATCTATCCACCATCCACCAGTCCATCCAACTCCTACCCATCAATCCACTGTACACCCGTTCATTCACCTTTTACCTGTCCATCCATTCCATCCAACCATCTATCCACCATCTACCCGTCCATCCACCATTCTTTATCCCTGCACACATCCACTCACCCACCTGTCCGTCCACCTGTCCACCCACCATCCAGCCATCCATCCACCTTCTGACCATCCATCTAGCATTCAACCTTCCATCTACCATCTACCTGTCCGTCCATCCATCCACCCAACTATCCACCTGCTACTCGGCCATCTACCATCCACCCACCATCCACCTGTCCATCTATCACCCATGTATCCACTATCTACCTGTCCATCTATCATCCATTTATCCATCCACACATCCATTCACCCACCCATCCATCCACCATCCACCCATCCATCCATCTCTTACCATCCACACGGCAATCCACTCTCCATTTATCCATCCACATATCCACTCAGCCATCCATCCACATCCACCATCCATCCGTTTATTCATCCACACATCCACTAACCCACCCATCCACCCGTCCATCCACCTCTGCCCATCGTTCTACCTTCCACCCATCAGTATACCATCTACCTGTCCATCCATCCACCATCTACCTATCCATCCATCCATCCTCCCATTCATCCACTCACCCACCCATCCACCCACCTTCTACCCATCCTTTCATCATTCCCCCCGCCATCCACCCATGTATCCTCCTTCTACCTGTCCATCCACCATTCACTACCTGCTACTCGTCCATCTACCATTGACCCATCCATGCACCATCTATGTGTCCATCCATACTTCCACCCACCTCCCATCCATCTACCATCTACTTGTCCATCCACCATTCATTTACCCATCCACGTATCCACCTGCCCACCCATCCATCCACCCACCTGCTACTCGTTCATCTATCATCCACCCATCCATCCACCACCAACATATCCACCATTTATCCATCTGTCCATGCACCATCTACCTGTCCATCCACCATCCACCAACCATTTTTCCATCCAATATCTACTCACCCCTCCAACAACCATCTACCCGTCACCCCCCACACCCTTCCAACCACCCTCTACTCGTCCATCCACCACCCATTATCCGTTCAATATCCA